TGGTCTCCATGTCTGCCTCGGCACCCACGGTGAAGGTGTTGGTGGTGGTGCGGCCTCCTGGGAAGTGCTGTGTCCAGGTGAAGTCATTCCCATTCTGCACCACCTCAGTCACAATCTTGCAGTTCCTTCCCATTTCAGCCTTGTCACTGGGGAGGCCTTAAACAATAAAAACACAGAGTTTATCAAATCTAAGCTGAATTTGAACTGAAGAATCGCAGTGTTTGTTCTCAGAGCATCTGATTTGTTGTTCATTTCTTATTTTTAATTTTTTTACAGCATCAAAGCTCTGAGTTGAAATTACTGATGTAAAGAAAGATATTGGTACATTAATGCATTTGCTAAAATAATCTTGCATTCTTTTCCCTAAGAAACAATACACAGGAAAAATGTACAAAGTACATAAAATATTCCCTTCTCCTTAACCTACACATGCAATGCTGGGAATTCTTTGTGTGGGACCTTGGGCCTTTGCTATTTAGCTGCACATACCTGCTTTTATATTTGCTCTTGCTCTTTAACTAAATGCACATGGAATCATGGAATCTTTGGACAGTTTGGGTTGGAAGGGACATTAAAGATCCTCCAACCCCCTGCCATGTGCAGGGACACTTTCCTCTATCCCAGGCTGCTCCAAGCCCTGTCCAGCCTGGCCTTGGGCACTGCCAGGGATCCAGGGGCAGCCACAGCTGCTCTGGGCACCCTGTGCCAGGGCCTCACCACCCTCACAGGCAAAGATTTCTTCCTAATATCCCATCTAACCCTACACCCTGCAAGTTTGAATCCATTCCCCCTTGTCCTGTCACTCCATTCTCTGGAAAGCCTCTCTCCATCTTTCCTGTAGCCCCTTCAGGCCCTGGGAGGGTCACCCTGAAGTTTCTCCTCTCCAGGCTGAACAATCCCAGCTCTCCCAGCCTTTCCCCAGGATTTTTATCCAATCCATGCCCCGTGCCTGACCCCAGCCAGACTCACCAATCTTCTGCACAAAGGCATCGTAGTTCTCATCACCCTCGAACTCGTATTTGCCTGAGAATGCCATTGTTCCCTTGGGATGAGCCTGGGGAAGAGGAGCAGCAGCTGGATGGGAGCAGAATGGATCAGCTGGGCTAAGCCCTGGCTTTATAAAGCAGCCCAAGCTCTCAGCCCACCTGGCCCACACCCCTTGGGAGCAGAACTTTATGGCCCCCGTGAGTCACAGCGATGCCATCGACCTGTGTGAGGATCAAGGTTATCAGGCAATTGTGCATCCTTGCCAATAACCTGGAGATCAGCAGGAATCAAGGCCAAAGGCTCCCTTTTCCTTTAGTGCAGATTTCAACAAAATGATGTATTTTTATTCTTAAGATTTCACTGGTTTTGCATTCAGGATGGAATAAAAGTAAAATAAAAATGGACCATGCAGTAGTTCTCAGCTCTGCAGAGAAAGACCTGGGGAAACTAGTGTCACCACCAGGGTTTCCTTTGCACTTTTGATTTAAAAGTGGCTGTAAAATGACTCTGACTATCCTGAAAGCATATTTGACACTTAGTTTGTTAATTAAGACTCCTTCAGCTTAATCCCAAGATTGCTGAACTCAACAAAAGGAAACTTCCTTTCCCAGCTGGACCCCAGTGCTGAGGCCCCACCTGTAAAGAGCAGGGCAGGGGTGGCACAGCCATGGAAGCCTCAATCACTGCTCTGCTCCAGGAGGATCTGCACAACCTTGGGAAGGAGGTCCATGAACTCAAGCCATAAAATCTCCTGCTCACATAAAACTTGCAGGGACAATTCCACTGGCAGAGTAACACCACAGGGACCTTGGGAGAGAAATCAAACTGGATAAGGAAAGCAGCCCAGTCCTGTGTGAATGGAAGGAGATAATCAGATTACACGAACAGTACTTGAGCTTTTATGCTCCCTGTCCATAAAGATCAGATTCTATTGATAGCTGTCCCACGATGAGATATAGAAATGCTGACAGCTCCATATAGACATGGATGGGATATTCCAGAATCCCATGGTATGTTTCTGCTGGTTACAAGGAGCAGTTATGCAGAAAAGCTCAGTGCTGCATTTGAAGGTACCAGCATGATGTAAATTCCAAGTGTGTGGCATTTGGAGACAGCTAACAGGAATAAATTGTCAGAGAAGTAAAACTCTGGTGGAAGCTCATCCCCAAAGGAAAAGGTCATCCAAAGTGAGCAGTGAATTCCCTCTGCCTCCCGAGGCAGCTGCCTCTGAAATGCAAAACAGCCGAGTCTTCAAATGCTCTGGGAGCAGAGGGAGCTTTAAGGAGCCAAATCAAAGCCTTGGAAATCTTTACTTTGAGAATTTGCTTGCACAAAATAATAACACAACGTTTCTGCATTCCTTTTGTCTGTGGAGTCCCCTTGCCCTTGGGTGGCTCCCAGCAGCCTCCCAGGTTTATTAACCTTTCAGAAAGCCAGGGAGAATCACTGGGAGACAAAACGAGGATAAGGGAGGTAATTCCAGCAGTGACTGAACCAGGCAGTGCCGGGCTTTGAAGTGCTTTTAGAGCTGGATTGAAACTGAACTGGGAGTACGGATTCAGAATATCAGTGGGAACTCTCCAGTGACCACAGAGCTCCAGTTAATGACTCCCCCGAACGGAACTTGCTGGGGAAAGCCTGTGGAGCCCTGAACCAGCCCTCCTTAGGAAATGCTAATGATTATTAATTCCTCTGGTACTCAGAGTAATCACTGCTAATGAATTCAGGATGAGCTCGTTTGGTGTTAATGTGCTGGGTAATTCCAGGGGAGCCCTGTAAGCTCGGCCTTGTTAAGTGCCCGTTTAGTCTGGTCCGAGGTGCTGCTGCTCTCCAGCCCTAAAGAGCAGAGAATTCATTACCAGAATGGGGCTCAATTATTGCATGGCTTGGACAGAGCTCAAAGATTGCACAGAAATGCACCTGCCAAGCTCCACAGGTGACCCAGCACAGGGATGTGGATCTGCCCAACAAAACCAGGAAAAACAAGAGCTCACCTGGAGACAGAAACACCTGCAGGGGAGGAAGGCACAGATCTTGCAAAAATCCCCTACTTTTGGGGACTCCCTAAAAGAAAATTCAATTATTTTGTGTGACAACACTCCATCAGGAGAACCCTCATTGTGTCTGGATCTCCAGAAAAGAAATTTCCAGAAATTTGCTGGAACCAAAGGATTCATGCAGGCTGCACAAGCTGGCAGAACTTCTGTAAGAAGGGTTTAGATCCCACTGGTGTTCCTGATCTCTGAGAGGAACCTCAGGGGGACTGCTGAGGTCTGGGCTGGGAATTACAGAGACAGAAAACTAAACCCTGGGAAAGGTACCTGGTACCACAACTTCTTGGGAATTTAATTCCCTCCTTTCTCCAGAATTCTTCCCTGTAATGAGTTATCCTGTAGTAAATGTTATCAGTGGTATCCAGTTAAATGGGATGAGGATGCACAGCAGAAATGGGAAGCTATCTTGATTTTTAACAGCTACACCAGAAGACTTGAATTTTGTTAAGCTAGTTTGGATTTGTGTATCCTGAAAAGGCACAGGAAGACTAATTTTGGCTGCTCTCAATTTGGCTCCCACAAAACTGCTCAGATTCCTTTGAAGTATCATCCTTGGATTAAGAGCCACTGTGGAATATTTTGAACTCCAATGGTTTTAGTCTAATGTAGACAATATTTCAAAGGTTGCTAAAAAGAAAGATATAATTCACTTGATCTGCAGAATCTTCTGGTCAAAAATCGGAGTTAAAGCTCCTCTCTCTATGGAGTTGTTATATAGAAATATATGAAGTTCTAATTAAGTTAATAACTGACAGCCCTAAAGACAGGAATCATTGCAACTCTTCTGGACTTTTCTGAGCAAACCCCAAAGCCACCCCTTTTATCTACACAGTTCATGGGCTGTGTTGTAAAGATTTTATTACTTGATAATAACTGTGTCATTGTCCTTGCTGACACATCAGATAACACAGCTCCAAATGGAACTTATCCTGCAGGGAATCTAATTGGGATTTCCTCACATGGCTATGGCTCCAGGGAGCTCCTGCTGCTCCACAGCATTCCCTCAGCTCTGCTTCCCAAAGCTCTGGCCAAGGGAACACTCCATTCAAACACTGCTCTTTTCTTTCTCTGAGGGCACATCTGGTTTGCAGCTGGCCTTTTGGTATTCCCAAGTCCCCCCTGAAGCCTTTCCTGCTCTCCCCTCCCCTGCAACTCACCTGGGACAAGGCTCAGGTGGGGCAGCACCTGCCTGGAGCTGGAGAGAAACAACCCAAAAAGGGGTTTAATCTGAAATAATCTCAAAGATAAGCAGGAAAAACCAATATTTGAGTGCATTTTTCTTATGCCAGTGCAGTGTTTAGTGAGTGCCCCACTGAAAATACTGATCTAAGTCAAGTGTGCAGGGACAGACAGAGTCTGAGAAGCAGAGAAGGATTTTTTTCTTGAAATACAAGAAAAGCCAGTTTTCTTTGCACAGAAATCTTCTTCTGGGCCTCAGCTCTGCTTTGATGTGTGTGATTCACAGCAACATCTCACTGCATACTTTCAGCTCTTTGAAATTGTTTATATTGCCTTGGATGCATTTATCAGGAGAAGAAAATATACTTCTGTGGCAGAGAAAATACACACATCTCACGTGCCATTCCTTCCCCACCTCCACACCAAGCAGATCTTTGCATGTCCTTGCTCCAGGAAGTGCTTTTATTACATCTGGTGTCCCTCTTCTACAGTTTGATTTATTCCTGAGTTGCTCAGCACTAAGTTGGCTCTTATTAATCAAACAACATTGATGGAAAAGTGGGAAAATGAGACTGGGTTGGTAACAGCTGTGATTTTCTCAAACCCTGGAATAAGTCACATTTCTCTTAAAGATTCCTCCCAGAATCAGAAGAAAAATCTGGAAAACACTTCAAAATCTGAACTTCTGCTTAAGTATTGCTTTACTCCAGAGTACCAAACAACAGCTGTTTCCCTCCTAAACAATGGGAAAGCATCAAGGGCCAAAAAGCCCCTAAAAAGTGGCAGATGGCTCAGTTGGTCAGAGCAGGGTGCTGACAACACCAGGTTTGTGGGTTCAGTCCCTCTGTGGGCTCAAGTGTTGGACTTGATGATCCTCGTGGCTCCTCTCCAACTCAGAACATTCTGTGATCTGGAAATTTGTTTAATTTTAAAACTTGATTTTTAACCTAAACTTGTGTTTTCCAATGGCTCAGACTGGTAACATGCACAGGTCACTCTCAGGGTGTTTAAAACCTCAGTGGCTGGGTAGGAGCCAGCTTCCCAAAATTCGCCTTCCTCGGGCACAAAATGCTCTTGTAAAATCTGCTTTTGAGAAGAATTTGAATGCAGGAGCAATGCAGGATCCTGGCTGTCCCCGTGGCTCCCCTGGTGGTTGCAGGAGTAGCAGGATTTGTCTGGCAGCCAGGTGAGCTCACCTGTGCTGGGCCCACAGCACCATCCAGTGTCAGCTCCGTGCTGCTGAACCCTCCCCTGGGAATTCCAGGGAAAAGCTGCAGCTCGTGCCCTAAAATGCAGGAGAGGTAAAGAAACCAAAATACCTCAGCTCTCCCTGCATCAGAACTGTTTGTTTTTTTTACATTTACAAAATTCAGGATCACAGACTGATTTGGGTTGGAAGGATCCAGAAGATCCTGCATTTCCAACCCCCTGATGCAAAGTTTGGGGGCACAACATGGATTTTGAACCTGAAGGGGAATCTGTTGGGTTTTAATCTGCATTTCTACAGAGCTTTTCTACCTGTGATCTGTACTCAGGACCTGTTTATACCCTGTTTTGGGTGGATTTTTATCTGCACTGTTGCCACCCAGCATTGTTTGCAAGCCAGGGCTCACTAAGACTCTTTGGCTGGGGCATTTGAATTCCCTGAACCCAAACCTTCCTCTGCCTCCCCCTCCTCTCCCAAAATAAAGCCTTGCAGGTTATTGGTGGCATGAGGCTGAGCCAGGGCTAAACCCAGGATCTGTTTTCTCTCCCTCAAAGCTGGAAAGCAGCTCAGGGAAGATGTTTGGGCTTTGTGTCCCTGCATGAAGGAGGAATTTCCCCAGGGAAGCAGGGAATGAATCTCTGCAGGGACCATTGGCCATGGAATGATGCTCCCAGGGGTGGGAGCAGCAGGAGAGGTTTCAGGTTTTTTCCTGTGGTAAAAGGACTGGGAAAAAGCAGGAGCACACAGGGATGGGAGCTGCAGGGAGAGGCTTCCCATCCCTCCTCTGTTCCTGAGGAAGGGGGACCCAGCCAGGATTGACTCCCTGGGGTCAGCACAGAACTGAGCTCCAGAGCAGGAGCCAGCCCAGCTCTGCCCATCCTGGGAATGGGAATCCCAGCAGAGTGAGACACAGGGAATGCTGCAATCCTTCAGTGCTAATTCAGGGTCTTGTTTGAGAAAAAAAATCCTCCTCCTGCAACAATGGCTTTGTTCTGAGAGGTTTGGTTTTGTCTGGTCAGTGCCTGCTCTTTTAAGTCATTGTGACCTACATACAGAGAGGATCCAAATAAAAAATTAAAGAGAAAGAGCTCTCTGTGACACTGCCTGGCTGAGCCAGCCCTGCAGTTCTGTGGCCTCTGGATTATTTTTTCACACAGGGCCAGATATGAGTTTATATAAATTTTGTGTGGTTGGGTTCTTTTCTTCATTATCGTATGAATGTTTAAATATCCCTCTTTAAGGAAAAATGTAGAGTTTGCCCACTGAGGGTGAAGGGATGGACACACCCTTGCTAGTGCTGTTATCCTGATAATGTACAGAAAAACCTAGCCTGGAGCTGTGCCTCTGAATAAAACCCAGGACTGAGCACAGGCTGAGGTTCTGGAGCTGACACCTCAGCTACCCTGAGCCCCAGGTTCCTGTGCCAGCACACAGCACAACAGCTGGGTTAAAATCCTTTTCCCCAGGACACTTTGGTGAGGTCTGGATGGCACATGGAATTCCTCTGGAGATGTGGAATCCAAGCCCTGCTCTAACCCACATTTAAATCAGGATTAGTGGGACCATGACTGCTGCTGGCTGCTCATTAAGCTGGGTGAGATCAGTCTGGGATCAGCTCAGCTCCCAGGGGCTGCACACTGATTTCATCTCCCAAAGGTCTGTTCCACCTGGAATAACCCAAGCTCTGAGCTGAAGGAGAGCTGTGCTGCTGCTCCAGCCTGTGCAATCCCTGCACAGCTGGCAACACCTGGAGAAGCAGGAAAATACCCAGGGACAGAGGAGCCCTGCAGGATCCTGTGCTCTGTGCCCTGTCCCTGCACAAAGAAGGGCAGCTCCCCCAGCCTGGCACCTTTCCTGCTCCCAGAAAACAACTGGCATTTCAGCCCAGCCGAGGGAAGCAGCTGGCTGGGGGTGAAGGAAGAAGCAAATTAGAGTTTATGGAGATCAAACAAGCCCACATCACTCCTTGTGCTTGGGGCTGCAAGGCCAGCTCGCATCCACCTCAGCTGCTGATTGTTTTTTTGACAGGAATTGCTCCCCAAACAGTCATGTTCAGTGATTATTTGTCTCCTTCCCTCTTCCCCTGATTACAGCCAGACTGGGACATCCCTGATCCGCATAGAAATGAATATTTCAAAAGGCAGGGCTGTCCTCCAAGGGCCTGTGCACCATTAGGCCTCCAGATTTACTGCCCCACCAGAGGCCAGGGGGGTAATGAGGCAGCAGCAACGGGCTACGAATCAGGAGAAAGGAGCTCAAAGAAAGGGATTTGCCTTGGCACATTCCTGCCTGGCTGTAAATTAAAATTATCACTGAGGTCCTGCCTTTATATGAGGAACTTTCCCTTGATTTTGCAGCCCCACTCCCAGAGGCTGCTCTGCACTGCAGCAGCTCCTCTTGACTCAGCAAAGCCCCGTGTTCTGCCTGTGCTCATGGACAGGAAGCACCATCCTAAACCAAAGCCCATTTAACAGGACTTTTGCTGTGTCACCGTGGTGGATGCAGTCCTGCTGTTTTCCCTCGGTGCTGAGCAGTGACTGCTCCCTGCGTGCCCTGCCAGGAGCACAGGTTTGCCCGGGGCTCTGGGGGAAGCCCTGGCATTAATTGCAATCCGTGCACCCAGGCTGATGCAGCTGCAGCAGGAATGCTCATGGATGCCAGGAATTGTGTCCTGCCTGTGGAAAACACATCCCAGCCTCAGCACCTGCCCAGCTCTGCAGCCCCCAGAGCCCTGCAATCCAACATTTCCAGCCTGGGCTCTCTGGGGCTCCTCCTCTCCCACGGAACCCTGCAAAGATCTGTGCTGCTTTGTATCTCAGTGTGCTTCACCCTCGGAACTGACTCATGTTTTCCCTCTTTTGGGAATGATTCAAGAACTTCCTTTGGCCTGACCACGTCTGACTCACCCTGGGTGACTTCAGAAATTCGAATCAAATTGAGATTGGTGGAGAAAAAAGCAAAACTAAAGTCAAATTGTAACTGCTGATGTGACAAAGTATTCCTGCCTCCAGTCTGCAGGCAGAGGAGGATTTATCTGGTCTGTCACTGGTCCAAGCCTGCATCCACCAGCCAATTTGATTTGATTCTGAGGGGAAAAGATCATGAGTATCAGGAATCCCTTTTATATTAAATTTATCCCCTAGAGGAAAACCTTTTGCAATGGCAAAAAAATTCCCCGTACCACAAAGATTTCCTAACCCCACTGACACTTGGCTATGAACTCGTGGTGAACACCCAGAGAAAGAGTTTCACATTCCCCAGATACAGTGTCCTACAGATCAGTGTTTTAACTGCAAAGAGCTGTTTTGTTTGAAGAGCTTACACAAGCATTTAAACCTTTCCTATTTCATGCAGGGGACAGTTGCCAAGTCTGTTCTGTGCCTGCAAGCACCGAGAACAGAGGACGCTTTGTGAGAACTGATTCTATTCCATTTACCAAATTTTAGACAGCACTGATTTTTACCTCCTTCATTTTTCATCTCAGAGAGGACAAGAGATTTTTTCCTTCCTCCTCTGTTCTTTCCTGCACTGGGGAGGTCTTTGGCTGCTTTTATGCAGAATCCTGACTGAGACTTCTCCATTCTCATTAAGGAATAACTTGATTCAATCCTGGTAATTCTTTTGGGACCCAGTTCCTCACCTTGCATTGTGTGATTCACCAAGGGAGTTTCCTACAGAAATGTGTCCCTTGAGGGGTGCAGCATGAAATTCCAGATTTCAGATCATTTTTGTCATTCCCAGCGATGCCAAAGCACAACAAACAGAGCACCCCAGGTATGTGCTGGGCTGAGGCACAAGAGGTGGAGAAGGAGCACTGAGGAAACACCAACTGCCACTGCCAGCACAGCAATGCCCTGAGCCAGGGGGGTCTGATGAATTATCCACAGGGCAGCTCTCAAAACACAAGGGGTGAACCCTGTGTGAAGGGCAGATTGCTTGCCAGCAGTAGCTGTAATTCTCAGTCTTTTCCTCAGAACAAATACAATGGCATGGTACAGTTCATTTGTTTCCCTTAGAGTTTTCCATCTCTCTTTATTCCAGAAGTTAGGCTGAGCCTAGAGGAAGCCTAAAACCCTGCAGCAGAGCAGTCATTACTGGGTGCTTCCTTTTCAGCACCAAGTACCTCCATTTTGGTTTCATTTCTGTATTTTCTAAACTAGTATGAACTGTGCCTGGAAAATGCTTTTTTTTTTGAGCAATTCTCAATGTTTTGGAAGCCTAACCTTGCCTACTACCAAGAGAAACAACCACACACTTCCAACCAGTTGTTCCAGTGAACAGAAATAAATTTAAGCTGGCAAAGGTATCTTTTCCCAGCAGAGTTTGTGCTGCTCAGCACGGTGGTTTCAGCAGCAGTGGGGAAAGAACAGTTAAAAAGAAATTATTATCCAGCTCCAGCAGCACATCCTGGGCACTGCAGCTTGGGCCCTGCTCTGTGATAAGCCCCACATGGGGGATTGGATTAGATTAGGGCAATATAGAGAAATGCAATCAACACATTTCCTCACAAGGGTGGTGACACAGTCGTTGAAGGTTTGCATTTTTCTTTTTATTGTTTGCTGAAGGGTGAGAGGGAGAATTTCACTGGGCCAGCTCTAGAAAGAGGGTCACAGGCAAAATCCAGCCCCTGATCCCAGGGAATGC